ATCATTTTCACATTGTACTGAGTAAAGTCGAGTACGTGGCGCAATCCGAAGCAAATTCTGAACAGATCATCTTCAGAAACCAATGAGCTCCTACAAGCATTAGAGCGTGCATCCCACGTGCATGCAATCACTTTTCGGATGGACTCAAGTGCATGGCGCAATCCAAAATAAAGGATTTTCAACATATTAGGATATCAGCTCGTAGAGCTCGATGAGCTGAGTTCAACGGTATTCTTTTCTCCTCGATTACTTTGTTTTGAAGCGATTTATAAAGAAACGCGCTATTCTCGTGAATTTTTGAGTTCTTACGGCGAGTACTGTACGTCTCTCAAAGGCTGTTCGAAACGCGTAACAGTGGGCTCGTTGACGGCGGTGTGCGTTTTAAATAAACTTCGTACAAACAATGGGGTTTTCCACCCTTTTACTCGATTCTGCTATTCAAGACTCCCCATCTGGAACCTAAATTTCATCCCATCAAGTAAATCGCAAATTTAGTCTCAACATATGGCTATTCACGCTACCTTTCTTTGAAAGGTCAGAGTAAGGAATTACAAAGCTTAGGAATGAATATACTATTGCCATTTGATCCTTTGATATCTATCCACCTCTGCAACCTACTCTATCAATCCATTGGCGACCGCGGCTTTTATGTTGTCCTTACATTCACTTTTAATTTCTCTTATGATTGTATGTAGCTAAAAATGAATGATTCCTGGACCACAGTGCCTCAAGATTCTCTGGAAGGCTGTGAGCTCATTTGTTACTCGAAAACATGAAAAAATTGTAAGAACACTTGATAAATAATATAAATACTACAGGAGCACGATATGGTGTGGCCCGCAGGCGGGTTAAAAACCGATCGACACTTCACGATCGACAGTAGGCTTGATAAGAGCAAAAACCAATGGTGAAATGGAATTTGAACAGAAGTGCGGCGGTAGAATGTTAACCGGTCAGGATCATTGGTGCATACCTAACTCGGCTACCTAACGCTACATAGTTTCACGCCAAAATTTTGTTTCGAATGGAAAGGAATACGCATCTTCAAACGAACAATTATTCAATATATAAAAATTTTGTTCGGTTGAATATCGGCTTGCTCTGAACTTGAACATTTCAGGCGCTCACTGTCCAAGCCATCATGCCTTCGTTCTTCGTTATTGGCTGTATACTTTATGTAATTGGTCAACTGGATATTGTTCACCATCCGTACCTCGAATACTACACTTCTATCGCACTTGAATTCCTAGCGATGTTTAACCCCCTTACATCACTATACTTCATCCGACCATATCGCACCTGGATCAGTAGAAATTTATCGAAGGCATATGCTTGCAAAAAGTAGTAGGTAGACGAAGGAGTCCAACTTCTCCGAAGAAAAAGGGTTTGTGATTAAAATGTAGACTAACTAATAAGCGTATCAATACAATGTACAAATACCAAATATAGACTGCTACAGTGCCTGCTGAAGTAAAGTTATCGCTACAGTACTTTCAAGTTGCCATAAGATTTCGTCATTTCACCGGATACTGGTTACGAAAGGTTCACCTTTTGGACTGATGATCCTAATCAAAGAGTTAACATGAACTAATGCAGTTTCGAATTTTTCCTCACAAGTAACCAGATTATTCACAGATTCGATCGTTGTTGGCCTGTTTTCACATATTCAGTAGGCTCCCAGGTTTGTAATCTACTTACTTATTAATGTGGCACATTCGAACGATATACGGCTACTCATGCTCACGGCAGAGCTCTTTTTTTTACTACTGTAAGACAAATGCCAAGGTCAAAATGTCAGCCATTCTCCAGAATCTGCAGAATTCTCTGTTCTACAAAGTCCGCGTCAGTTTGAAATGGAGCGCCACTGAACTTTAGCTTGCCCCTGCTTGAACCAATTAATTATGCAGGGTAATATAGAGTCCCTAATGAGAGCTGTGAACATGTTAGATCAGGAAAATAAGGCAAGAAGTTTTTACCAAAGGAAGTTACAGATAGAATACTGATGATACGACGGTCTACGTATCATCCGAAGACGGTAAAGTTAAACCCGAATTTGAGAAGACTCGTTCCAAATATTCGCTTTTACATTTCTTCTAGACTGATATGAGCATCGGCACCGCAACATTTGGCGTCGTCTCTCGACTCGGAGTTAGAAACAAAGGCATCACTGTAAGGGAGCGAAAAAGGTACCCATCACTAAAATTCACTTCTTCTTCTCCTTCGTAAGTACTGAGAATTCTGAGCAAGGTGGTGTAGTGGCAGGTAGAGCATAATCTCACACGCATGGTCACTAACTCGAATCTCGGATCGATATCCACCTAAGCCATTCAAACTTGTCGGTTAATTGGTACCAGGCTTGCAAGGCGGGACGAAAGCCCTGGTTTGTACAGGGTGTCCCAAAATTATTGGCGCCAAAATCCAGAAACTTCTAAGGTAGAAATAATTTATCAAGTTCACATTACCTGCTATTAATTAGTTGCATAAGGAGGGTTCGTTGCAATATGCATGGTTACTGACGTGGAACTCCCAATATTTTTCAGATGGAGGAGACTCATTCAATGCCATTTGCAATCATTGACACGCGAGAGGTGGAAGGGCATTATGAAATTCCTTGGGATTTGTATAAGAACCGTATGGGAGGCTATTAAACGATATAGAAACGAAGATTGAATTAGGGACAAACCAGGAAATAAGAAAGGTAGATTGTTTCTTAAGATAGGACTATTAAAATGGTCCGTCTGCCAATCTGTCGGGATTCTGG